TATATGTTCTACAAATTCTTCTAACTCTAGAGTATAATATTTAGCCTTTTCTGATAATATTGTAGTCGTTATAATTTTACCACCTGATATATAATAATTCGTAAAAAAATTTTTTTTGAAGACTTTTTAGCATGTTTTTCATAGTCAGTAAAATTGACATAATGTATCTGCTACGAGGTAAGCAAGTAGGAGCTTGGAGAGAAATAGATCAGAAAGAGAGACAGTGTGGGGGTCAGGTTGGTTTTCAAAAGCTTTGTTACCATGGTAAGAAATCTAGATTTTATTCCTAGTATAGTGGATTTTAAGCAGGGCAGGGAAATGACTTGATTTATATTTTTTAAAAAGCACTCAGGCTGCTCTGTGAAGAACAGATATAGGGTGGCCTGTATATTTGGAAAAGCTCTCCTGGTCACTTACATGATATTGCCCAACACCTACCTACTGCCAATAAAATTTAAATGTTTGATTTTGTAATTATAGTTTTATATATTTGTTTATTTGCAGTTTATTTATATACTATAAATTCTTATGATTCTAAGGGCTGATATTTAGCTTTTTCTGATCATGTACTCATCATTTTAGTGCCTACTACATAATAATTTGTAATCAGTATTTGCAGACTTTTTCAGCTTATTTTTTAGTACTCAATAAAATTATAATAGTTTGACATTGATTTTTATAAATTTCATTTAATTTCATGAGCTTTTCGAAACTACTTTTAGAGCATGTAAAATAAATTAATATTCTTAGACTTAAATATTTAAAATGTACAGTTTGAACATTATTTTTGAGAGACTAAATTCGTTTTGACTTAGTATATTTGTATATCTCAGTATTTTTTTTATGTGCCAATGGATAGAGCTGAAAGTAATTTAAACTTTAATGTAATAAAAATGTGCCATATCTTTTTTCATTACTCTCCATACCGGTTACTTTACTTGAATGTTAAAACCTCAGTGAATAGTTCTTATGAAAATTCTGATGAAAAGTTGTTTAACTATACTTAGCTCATTGAAGTAAGGCTTTTCTTTCTTTTTTTTTTTTTTTTTAAAGGTTGGCTGTTGAAGGTACTAATGGGATAGATAATCACGTACCTACAAGTGCTCTAGTCCAGAACTCATGCTGTTCACATGTAGTTAATGGAGACAGTACACCTTCATCTCCATCTCAGGTTGCTGCCGGACCCCAAAATACACCAGCTCCAAAACCACTCACATCTGAGCCTGCCAGTGATACTGGTAAGCATGACTACTTATGACACGTTGCTTAAATGAAAACTAAATTAAGTTTATGTATCTATCCCTATACTTCCCTTATTGTGCAGTCTTCTTAATCTTTTATTCTGTCATAAGAATTTTAAATTATAGTATCTGAAACTTTTTTCTAATAATTTGAAATTTTCTGGATTATTTGAGAAGATATTCCAAAAATATATTAGCTTAGAGATCATAACATATTTTACTAATAAGTAAGTGCTTGTAAGATAGCTATATTCTTAGGCTCCATTTCACAAAATAATACTATTTAATTGATGATATAAAATAAATGTCTGAAAGAACATTAGTGAATTTATTGATTTGTTAGTAAAAGTAGTAATGATTGGTTCCTTTAACCTGTCTTTCAGTACACAAATATTTTTTTTCTTAGCATGTAACTTGGTAGAAAAATGTGCTGTGAACTTATGCAGCTCTCAGAAAGTTTTATATTTTCCAAAAGTAAGCATTACTCTATTACAGAAGGAATGTCTAAGGAAGATTTCCTCTATAATCCTGGTTTTCAATAGACTTGTCTGTAAGATTTTTAAATTATTTTTTGTTTGGTCTTTATATATTAACTCTTTCAGATGAGTTAAACATCTTAGAACTTGTTTAAGATTGCTAGCGTATGTGTTGGTGATTGAGTTGGAATTCTGGTCTTTTGATTCCAGAGCCTATCTTCTTTCCTATATTTGTCTATTTATGTTTCCTGTGTTTGTCTATTTATGAGAAAGTATTCAAAGGTAGAAACGTGTGAAGAAGCAATTCAGTAATTACATTGAAATAGATATATTTATAGATAAGACTTAATTGTGTATTTATAGGGGAGATTCTTTTATAAACCTGTGAACTGACATGAATAATATTTTTTAACTTAATTTCTTTATTAATGCTGTCACCCTCTTTTAAAAAAAACCAAAAACATAGATTTAAGGATGGTTTTCCATGTACCCACAATAAATAGAGCTTTTTAGTCTTTAAGGTGGCTAGAAAGTAAAGAAAAGAATAAAGTACAACCGTGGTGAAATTAGTGAGCAAAATTCATTTTTTTTCTTATTCTTGCCTGCTTTCTAGTAAGAACATTTGTCCCTGAGATTTCTATTAGCAATGCAGAAAAGAAAATATCACCCCGGATTATTAAGAATTATCTCTAAATTAAGGGCAGACCAGTTAAAACACTTGGCTTTTCCTAATACTCTGTCTTTTATGGCTTTATATGGAAATACTATGAACAACAACATAATGTCTGTAATTCCAAGAGAGCAAATATGATAGTGAGTTTCATAGAACTCTGCCTTTGGTGTAGGATATCTGTCCTTTGGTGTAGGATAATGACATATCACCATAGCACAAATGAATTAAAAGTTCTATAGGTGCCTAAAAGAACATGTTGTCAGTACTCAGCTTGCTTTTGGGTTAATCTAAAAATTAAAATTTCCAGTTTTAAAAATATAATATGAAGAAATACTAATAGGAAGAACTAATAATTTATTTTTTAAAAATATTAACACATGGAAAAATGGTTTATGGCAATACTGGAGTTCTTTACAAAATAGCATGAATCCAATGCTTTTTAGCTTAGAAGGTTTTTTAAGTTATCAAATACCCGTTTCAAAAAATACTAAGAAAAAAATATGGTTATCCACCCATAAAAAAACGTTTACAGTTTAAACAATGTAACTTCTTTCTGAACTCTCCAACGAGGTTATAAAAATAAAACAAATAAACCAATAAAAATAAATAAAATTTGCTCATCCTTATGTGACCCAAAAAAATGAGATGACTTATTATATGGGATTATTATTATATGGGTTCAGAATGGTTGATCTAATTCCATTCTTTATGGCTGTAATTAGATAGTAGGAGCAATTATTTATTAAATCCACTCCTGATTTATAAAAAAATTTTGATACAGATATTGAATGCTCATTTCAGAAAGGCTTACACCGCCTTTCAGCTTCATTCTTGTCATCTCCCTCCATTTAAAGTGTATGAAATTTGGAAGCTTAACTTTTATTTCTCCACCATTTAGTTGTTTGAGTAGACAGTGAAAGTATGCATTGGCCACTGGTTAGTTGCATGTTTAGCACTTGGGGATGTTCAGATATTGATGTAAAAGGAAGAAGGAATTAATTGAGGCGATCCTCATTGTAGAATCTGTTATTCACATTCTACCACTTGTCAAATACTTTTGGACTCTTTTCATTGGGAATAAATTCACTTCCCATATTCCTCTCTTATTTATCCTTGCATGAAATGTCAGGGTGTAAACAAAACGGACATGTGAGGAACTAAAAGGCTCCTTCATAAATAATTCCCATGACATTCATAATAATTGTAAGGAAACAATCTGAATAATAATGATAATTGCTAACATTTGTGCTGTATATGTTCTAAACACTATATCTGTTAACTGATTTAATTCTCACAGTAACTCTTTGAGATAGGTACTAGTATTTTTTCCTTTTTTCTGATGAAGGAACTGAGGCACAGAGAGGTCATAGCTAGGAAGTAGGAGAGCCATAACTAAGACCCACCTGTGCACTTTGCTTTCCTATTCACTTTGATGTGTGTGGTTTTTATAGTGTCTTAGAGCAGTACGTCTCATCTTTTATACTATGATAGGCCTCAAATAGTATTCCTCAACCTTTTTACCTCCTCTGATTATTGTTGGTGGCCTCTGACAAAACAGTCCAACTGTCATCATTCCATTGGCCAGTTTACAAAGCCTCTAGAACCTACTTTGTTGTTAGTAACCACTTAATTGATGTCTTTTTGTATCATTGCTCATCCCTTAATAGGAGGATAAATTCAGATATCTTTTCAAGGAATGGGTAATCTCCATCTGTTTAAAGTGTTAGTGCAAAATGGTATTCCTTTTTCTCATTAAGGACTTTAAAAATCAGTTTTTCTTTTTGGAGTTGTGGTGGGGGAGAGGGTGGGGTGTGTATATTCTATGTATATTAGATATCTTTAATCTCTTATCTGCAATTCGAAAATCCTGAAATCTTTAAAACCAAGGTTTTTTGGTGAACTTATTTGATGGCAAAATGACTAGAACTGATGTGACACTATTTATAGTTTTTATCTATTATACTTACTATGTACATTCCTACATTTTGTTGCAGAAATATCATTGTGCTTAACCATAATGTATGGCCTCCAAACCCACTTGGTTATTGATGTGATATACAATATATGTGCCGTATTGCCTTTCTAAATTCCCAGAAGTTATGAATTCTGGAACAAACCTGGCCACAAAGTTTCAAATAAGGGATTATGGGCCAATACTAAGGTGTTTAAGATATTATACAAGACAAGTGATATTATACAAGATGGCTTTTTTTCTTCTCCTATTCTTTTGAGTCTTGACTAATCCATATGATAAGTTTAGTTGCTGTGAATAAGTTATTTTAGTCTAAAATGGGAGGTAGTCTTGATATAGTGAAAAGATTAGATTTGGCTTCTGAGAGGACTGGGACCAAATCCCAGCTCAACCACTCAATATGTTAATTATGTGACCTTGGACAAATTTAATATCAAAATTTAGCTTCCCATTTATAAAAAGTGGATAATACTCAAATACCTTATAAGATTGTTTTGAAGGTTAAATGAGATAGTAAATGTAAAACATCTAACATAGTTCTTGGATTATGGTAGCTATTTAAAAAAATTATCATATTCTTCACTTCATTCCCCACCTCCCAACTTCTAGTTTGAGATGACTTTCTAAAAAGTGTATAATTATTATCTTATTAATAAAGTAGATCAGAGGTCAGTATGGTAAGCTTCAGGCAGAACCAACTGATTGCAAAAGCTTAGAAGCCAGTCCTGAAATATTTTGAGACCACAGGAATAGCAGGCGAACATCCCTGAAGTGAGAAGGTGTTTGTTCAGTTCAAGGAATGGCATTGTGAGGAGTCAAATATAGCTGTGGACCAGCTTATGTAGAGTCTTTGTCGTGGGCTGTAGTAAAGACTTCAGGTTTTATGCTGCTTGTAGTGGAAATCCATTGGCATGTTTGATCAGGGGAATGAAAAGATGTGTTTTATGTTTTAAAAGATTACTTTGGGGCCGACCCTGTGGCACACTCGGGAGAGTGCGGCGCTGGGAGTGCAGCGACGCTCCCGCCGTGGGTTCGGATCCTATATAGGAATGGCCGGTGCACTCACTGGCTGAGCGCGGTGCAGACAACACCACACCAAGGGTTGCGATCCCCTTACCGGTCACGAAAAAGACAAAAAAAAAAAAGATTACTTCGTTGGCTGCTGTTTGGAGAATGGATTGTAGTTGGGTAAGAGAGGAGAGAGGCAGGCCAACTAGGAGTCTATGGCATCAGGGTAAACAAGAAATGATGGACTAGAGTGTTTAGTGGTAAAGACAAAGAAAAGAGCTGAGAATACTTGCCGTTGAATTATATGTGGGAGAGTTGTTTTGCCTTGAGTGACTGATTGGTGCAATTTCATATTCAGTTTTCTTCCTCTGACAGTTTGTGTTTCATGTGCTGTGTTTTAGTGTATACAAAAGTTTATGACTTTTCCTTGTTGGAATGGAATATATCTTTCATCAAATATTCTTCTTTTCCCATTTAATGTTATTTTGCTTTAGAAAGACTACTGCTAATTCTTCCTTCTGTGGGAATTAATTTCCATACCATGAAAAAGTGACAATTAAATGAGATAATGCTTGTAAGTGAACATAATATAGGAGGGATGAGAATTCAGTCTCTCTCTGCACACTCTCTTTTTATTTGTCTGTGATGTCTTAACAGGGTTGGGTATGGGGTAGCTCTGTAAATATTTTTATTTCTTGCATTTCATGGATGATTTTTCCCCCCAAAGCCACTTTCTTCCTTATATTTAGATTACAACTTGATTTATTGGTTTTTTTTAAATTAAAAATTTATGTTTTAGTTGGCACATAGTGATTATACATATTTATGGGGTACAGTTTTATTTCAATAAATGTATGTAATATGTGATGATCAAGGATAATTAGCATGTTCATTATTGCAAAATTTTATCATTCCTTTGTGATGAGAACTCTTGAGCTCCTCTCTTATAGCCATTTGAGCCAATTCTGAGACAGGAGTATTGATGTCTCCAACTGTAATTGTATTGGGATCTGTCTTTCTTTTTAGATCCAATAATATTTGCTTTATATACCTGGATGCTCTGATGTTGGGTGCATATATATTTACAATTGTTGTATCCTCTTGCTGAATCGATCTCTTTATCGTTGTATGATGCCCTTCTTTGTCTCTTTTTATGACTTAAGTGTTTGATTTAAAGTCTATTTTATCTGATGTAAGTATAGCTATCCTGCTCATTTTTGGTTTCTGTTTGTGTGGAGTATCTTTTTCCATCCCTTCACACTTTTGGTCTGTCTGTTATTACAGGTAAAGAGAGTTTCTTGTAGGCAGAAGGTAGTTAGGTCTTGTTTTTTAATTCATTCAATGAGTCTCTATCTTTTAAATGGGGAATTTAATCCATTTACATTCAAGGTGTTTATTGAAAGATGTCCCCTTACTCCTGACATTTTGTTAATTGTTTTATTGTTGTTTTCTATATCCTTTGTTCCTTTCTTTCTCTTTTGTGTTTGCTACTTGGTGTTTTTTTTTGTAGTGATAAAATATAATTTTTTTTTCTTGTTTGTGTATCTGCTCTACCAATGTTTTATTCTTTCATGTGTTATCATGATGGTAGTTACCATTCTTTTCTTCCAGAAAGATGTAAGGCTCTCGTAAAGCTGGTCTAGTGGTGATGAATTCCCTCACTTTTTGTTTGTCTGGGAGAGACAGTATTTCTCCTTCATTTTTGAAGGATAACTTTGTTGAGTATAGTAATCTTGGCTGGCAGTTTTTTTCTTTCAGCACTTTGAAAATATCCTCCCACTTTCTTCTGGCCTGTAAGTTTCTTGCTGAAAAATTTGCTGTTAGTCTGATAGGGATTCCCTGATAGGTGACTTGATGCTTTCTCTTGCTGTTTTTGGAATTCTCTTTTTATCTTGGGCTTTTGACAGTTTGACTACACTGTGCCTCAAAGAAGGCCTTTTTTGGGTTAAACTCTTCAGGGATCTCTGAGCTTCTTGGATGGGGAAGTCCATATCTCCCAAAATGTGGGAAGTTTTCATTAAGTAGGTTTTTGGTGCCTTTTTCCTTTTCTTCACCTTCTGGAACACCTACAGGGTGAAAGTCTGTACACTTAAAGTTGTCCTATAAATATTATAGGCTTTCTTAATTCTTTTTAACTTTTTTTTTTTTTTGTCTGACTGGATTATTTTAAAAGACCTGTCTTCAAGTTCAGAAGTTTTTCCTCCTGGTTGATCTAGCCTGTTGCTTAAGCTCTTGGTTGTATTTTTTATTTCATTTAATGAATTTGTCAGTTCCAAGATTTTTGTTTAGTTCTTTTTTATGATGTCTATCTGTTGAATTTCTCATTTAGAGTGTGTGTTGTTTTTCTGATTTTGTTCAGTTGTCTCTGTATTCTATGCATCTCACCAAGGCTTCTTGATATTATTATTTCTAATTTCTTTCCAAGCATTTCATAGGTTTCATTTTCTTGAGTCTGGTACTGGAGAATTATTTTATTCCTTTGGGAGAGTAATGTTTCATTGTTTTTTCATGTTTCTGTATATCTTTGTTTATGTCTGGGTATCTATCTGGTGAAAAAGTTGCTCCTTCTAATTTTGGAAGAGAGAGACTCTTTCCTGTAGATGTGTTCTGTAGTGACAGTTGGTTAGGGTGTTTTAGGTTTGATTTGGGTTGAGCAAAGTAGTGTAAACTCCATGTGACTTCTTTGACTGTATTCAGTGTCAGAGTTGTCTGCAAGTACCTCAATGGCCTAGGCTCTGGGCTGCTTGGCAGCTCCTTGCTGGATCATGTGACATTGGGTGGGATTGCTGGTGCTGCAATTGGGAAGTCAAGCCCCTGGAAGATGTGCTGGTGTGCTCAGTGACTCCTCAGCTGAAGTGGTTGATCCTGGACTGGACAGGGTCTCTGAGATTGGAGTGAGTCACCAGGGTTCTGGTAGAGGTGCTGTGGCAATCAGCTGTTCCTCTGCTAAAGTGAGCAGAGCTTTGGGGGAGATAAGTGGAACCCTGCACCCTCAGGAGAGGTTCTGGGGCACTCTACAGCTTTTCAGCTGGAGTTGACAACTATGGGAACAGTCATAGCATCTTCAGGTGAGATGCTGGGGTCACTCTGAAGCTCCTCAGCTAGAGTTGACAATTCTAAGCAAGGCTGCTGGGGCTGTGGGTGGGTCTGTGTGCCCCCAAGAGAGGTGCTTAGGTGTTCTACAGCTCCTCAGTTGGAGTGCTTAACTATGGGCAAAGTTCCTGGGGCTGTGGGTATGACTCTATATCCACAGGAGAGGCTCTGAGGTACTCTTGTAGCTCCTTAACTGGAGTGGGCAGCTCTGGGCAAGGTCACTGGGGCCGTGGGTGGGAAGGCGGGACCCTGTGCCCCAAGAGAGGTACTAGGATGCTGTGTACTCCTCAGGTGGAGTGAACAGCTCTGGGCAGGGTCACTGTGGCTGTGAGTTGGACCCTGAGCCTCCAAGAGAGATGCAGGGATTCTCTGCGGCTCCTTAGCTGGGGTGAATGGCTCTGGATAGGTTCATTGGAACCGCAGGTGGGAATCTGTGCCCCTGGGAAAGGCAAGCTGGTGCTCCACTGAAGAGAGCAGGTCCACTCTCTGTGGCAGAAGACCCCAGTTGATTGGCTGTAAGCCTCTAGAAAGTGCACATATTGGTTCCTTTTGTCTTGGGGTGGTCTCCTCACTATGTTGGGCTGCCTGTTCCCAGGGGTGCAGGATACTGCCTGGGTTTGGATGCTGGAGTCATGGTATAATGGGATGTCGATGGGGCCTTAGGTATGTGGAGATGTCAGGGCTATTGGGCCCCAGGGCAGAATGTACCTTAGTGTTCGAGCCAATCTCCAAATGGTGATGTGTTGTGGCAGCTTGAATCCCAAGGGATGGGAGTTCTCAGCATCAGCTTCCTCTCTGGAATAATTCAGTTATGTGGGCTCCATGCAGCTTCCTACACTGGGCTCATGGCCTGCAAGCACTGTGCAGCTCTCTTGTAACTTGGATTGCAGGTGTCCGTGGTGGGAGTTTTTCACTTATTTTTTCTTCACAGTAAGGAGTCTCTCTCCTGGTTCTGAGCTGGTCCCGGTTGAATGCTTCACTTGTCTTTCTATGCTGCCAACCTGAGTTTCTGGTCCTCAGGGAGTCTTCTTCACTATTTTGCTGAATTCTGGTGTTTTCTCCTAGATACTGTCAATGTGTGACTAGCTATTTGTTGTTTGGACTTTCTTTGTGTCAGAGTTGAGAGTTGGGCGTCTCTAGTCAGCTACCTTGAACTCTTTCTCCCTTTTCAAATTCCTCAGCCAGTGAGCGGGAACCGGTCTGTATGTGGGATCCGAACCCTCGGGCGGGAGCGCCGCTGCGCTTCCCAAGCGGCGCACTTATCCAGTGCGCCACCGGGCCGGCCCCAAATTCCTGTTCTATTCTTTTGCACACACTATTTGATTCCTTTAATAGTACACTCTTCTTTCCGTTATTTAAGTCTTTTTCTTTTTTAAAAATCTTCCTGAAGATTCCATTATTCTAATTATGTCTGCCGCTACCTTTTTCATTAGAACTTTGATATGTAACCTAATAGGTGTTCAATAATCTATTCTCTATATAGTTTTAATTGACTCAGTTTTATAGTGACACATAGTTGAAATGGAAAAATTAAACTTAAAATGAAAATTCAGAAACCTCTGTCACAGTACTGGGTTATTTCTTCAAGAAGTGTAGAATGGGTTCCAGGATCTTTTTGCAATTCCCTTTGGTACTTAAGAATTAATGCCACTATAAATTTTCTACTATTGGCAAAAGAGTTCTTTTCATATTAGTTTTGATTTGCACAAAAGAAGGGAGATTGAAAGGGATCATTTAAAAATTTTTATGTAGTCCACGCCGAATTTCTCTCAGAATTGTTAATTTAGAGGGAAAACATTTGTTATCCTAGTGTTGGTTTCTCTTTCCTTAAGATTATTAGTATATACTTAAATTTTTATCATTTACATATCCATCCCTAAAATGTGAGCAGTGAAAAATATAATCTTTGTTGTGTATGTCGGTACCCGGTACATTGCTCAGTCTGAATTAGGCTCTGAATAAGTGTAATTGATTGATTATGTAATTGGTTGCTTTGTCATAACTTGATAGATTGTCTCATTAATTTCCTCTTCGCAGTTAATGGAGAATCATCCTCATCTGCACCAACTGATAATGCTTCCGCCATAGATACTCCAGTAGTATCTGAAGAAACCACCGTGTCTTCAAACTGCACTATTACTACTGTTGAAGATCCTGCAGTTCAAGAAATACTGACTTCCTCAGAAAACAATGAATATATTCCTTCTCCCAGTGCAGAACTGGTATCTGAAGCTAGAAGTATGTTAGACCCTGACACCTTTAATTCTGGAAATAGTTCTGGTTTTGAAGCAGCCAAATTAAGGCAGCCAGATGGATGTGTGGAAACTGTACGGCAGCAGTCTGGAAATGCCAATACAGAAACTTTGCCATCAGGGTATGTTCAGTTTTTTTTATGTTTGACTTGTATTTAAGTAGCAACTTTTTGATAATATATGACTGTTGAATGTGTGCTTAAAATGTTTCCATTGTTCGGACATTTGAAACTTCAGTTGGAATTTGATTTATACTATTTGTTTATTTTCTACAAAGCAAGTACTTTTTGGAACCAAGAATAATTGCTCATCTAGTCGAAGTATGTGTGATATGAAGGGAAAAGAAAAAAACATAATGTTGATTTGTAAGACCCTCTCTGATTCATGGTTTAATTTTACATATCAGTGAGTGACCATGACACTCTATGCAGTATCCTCAGTATTCTCTAGCTTCCTTCGTTGTCTGCTCTCTAGAGCTCACCCTTGAGAACAAATAGCCATCCTTTAACTCAGCAAATATGCTTAGTAATTCTTAATCTCCTTTAAGTTTCCCACTGCAATTACTCAGCTCACTGTGACTTTCTTCAAAGTATATTCTGTATGTGGACTCCATTTGGTTGTCTCCTCCCTATTTACCTAACAGTTTTTTGACTCTCTACTCGGCTCTCATGTTACTACTAATAATTAACTATTCATTGTCTCTGCCTTCAGGAAGCTCATTTAGTGGTTCAGACTTGTAAGCATGCATGTGCAGTACAGTTTCAAAGTGCTGTAATAAAAGTATGGACACAGTGCTTTTCAACACAGCTTACAATAGTCACAATGTCAACCCTCATGGCTGTTGAAACTGCACTTCTAAAGGTCTCCAGTTACTTTATTACACTCACTTTCTCATTGTAGTCACTGTATACATACCCCTTTCTATTTTTCTAAGTGCTCTTTATTGGCTCATCTGATTTTTGTCCATTGCTTAACTGTGGTTCCAGCCTTTGGTCTTCTCCTGTGTGTGCTTCCCCTACTAGTTCTTGCACTCTTCTGTCATTTTAACAAGTACATCTACATTTGTCCTGGCCAGATCTTTTTCTGAGCTTATTTTCAGCTGTTTTCTGAAAATCCCTTCTTTTTCCTGCAAAGAGTTTAAACCCTGCATTATCTTCCCCTTCTCCCTCAAAAATCTCTTGTCCTCTGTCCCCTGTCTTTGGTGACTTAGTCATTTTTCCTAGTCTTTTCATATGTCAGTCATGTGACACAGACATATAAGAATCTGTTCTTACTGTCAAGAGCCTCATGGTTAAATTAAAGCCATGCAGAGGTTAGTTTAGGTGTATGGGGAGGAACATCCCTGTGCTGTTGAGGTCAAAGAATACTTTCTGAAAGTGATGACACTTTAAGTGCATTTCTGAGAGAGGAGTTAGCAAAGCAAATAATGGAGGCACAAGGTAAAGAGTTTCATTCACAGCAGAGCCAACTGCATATTCAGATCTCTAGCATCCATGAAAATAAGTATGCTGAACTTAGAAATTGAGATTTTGTTATAATTTGAGTTTAGTATTGAGGAAGCAAGGTATATAATGCTGAAGAGTAAACAGACTATGAAGAATTTTATATGCTTGCTAAGGGTTTGGGAATTTTTCTGAAAATTGAAGAATTTTAAGCAGGGGAGTGGCTCAGTCATATTTGCATTTCATAAGCTGGAGATTTTGCCCAGTTGCTCACTCACTCATTCATTTAATCAAGCAGTAATTCACTTATTTAACAGGTATTTATTGAGTACCTGCTGTGTGGCAGCTACGATTTAAGCATGAAAAATACAGAAATGGACAAAATAAAGTCCTCTTCAGTCTAGTGGAGAGAAAATAGACAAACGCACATACAGATATATGTCATGTGGTGATGTCAGTGTTAAAAAAATAAAGATTTGGGTTACACAGATGTATGCTTTTATCAAAACTCATCAGAATGGTACATTTAAAACTTGTGCTTTTCCTTTTATGTAAACTTAACCTAAAAAATTTAAACAGATATTGAATTCTAGTTCATGCTGTGCAAGTGGAAGTATTGAGAACAAAATGTGCTAATGTCTGCAACTTACTGAAATGCATTTAAAAATTAGATGGTCAACTGATGGGAGGGAGTCAGTAGAAAGAGATTGGCAGTACAGGAGAGAAAGAAGACAGCTGTTGTAATTATGGTTTATGAGAAGGTTAACTCTCTTACTATCGACCCCATTACCTAGTCATTCACTAAATTCTATTATTTTTATTGTAATATATTTCACAAAATTCTTCTACATTTACTTTTTTTTTTTTTTTTTTAAAAAGCTCTTTGTTTAGTAGTAGGTTTCGAAAATGTGTATATAATGTTTTAGTGAGACAGGGAGACCATCTCTGAATACTTGAAAGGAGAGTCTTATGGTTGAAGGTGAAATGTGGCAGTTATAAATTAGCACCCCCTTCCAGGAAATTAAAGAGTTCTAGCGAGAATTCTCATTAATCGTTTAGATAATTTGCACCTATTTGGGAAGTGGATGAATTTCCACTCCTGGAATAATCTAGTCTCTGGCCTAATCCAGCCCACCGTTCATAGGGCCTGTGGTCCAGCTCTAGTGGGCTCTATAACTGTGAATGATGGAGACAAAGCTAGGCTGCCACCTGTTACCCAGGTACATCTCCCACCAAACACCTTCCTCCCTCATTGCTGTCCAAGGCCTGCTCTGGTCACCACCTACACACTGGGAATTCACTCTTGGAAATTACTAGGTTCCAAATGGTGGAATCTCACTTTGGGAGTGGCAACTCAGCAAGTTGCCTGCCCTTGGGCCACCTGCCAGGGGAGGAGAGAAGGGCACACTAGGATCTAGGAGTTTTGGGGGCAGATAGTGAAATTGACTGGGCTCCTCCCCTGTGGCCCAGGAGTTCTGGGTCCTAAGAATGTTGTCAGCAGAGGGCAACTGGGCACACAGCATGCCCACAACCAGGCAGAGGGGGTGCAGCAAGGCAGGAGAGGAGTTTTCTCTGTTTTTTATGTAAGTACCTACATAATGTTCTTGATTTTGCCTCTTAGCCCACAAAGCCTAAAATATTTACTGTATAGAATGTAGAAAATTATAAAGAAGATATCTAAAAGTAATTCTGAATATCATGTTCCGTGTAGAAAGAAATTTTGTTTGACAAAGATGAATTCTATTTAGAACAAAAACACTGAAATATGTAAGTGATCCCCACTTTTGGAAAAGTTAAGGACCAGTGAGTAGCATTATGCTTGGAACACAAGTGCTTACTGAGTATTTGTTGAATGTTAAATTAGAAATACTTTCAATTAAATTAGGATAAAACTTAGAAAAGGGCTTCAGAGCATATTATATGGATTGAGGGCTTGGTTATGTTTGTTTTTTCTCCCAATCTTAATTGTTTCTGTTTACAAAATTAAGACATCACCAAATAAAATATTTAAGTCATATGGAAATATTAGTATCCCTTCAGCTCACCACCTAGAGTGGTGTTTGTATATTACTCTAGCAGCTAATATCTGAGTTGTCTCTGTGTCAGACGTTGTTCGAGGCACTGTGTGTACAGAGGGGTGAGAGAGCCCAGGACTCTGCTGCTGTGGGGCTTGTGTTTTAGTGAGCAGACAGACAGTGGCCTTATGTGGAAAATTTATTCAGTAATGTCAGATAGTGACAAGTTTTATGAGAAAGATAAAAGTGGGTGAAGAGGATAGAGGGCAGCTCTATAAATTATTATTATGTGTAAATTTGTAGAATTATTTTCAGAAAATGGGATCATACTCTAGATACTGCTTTTCAGTTGCTTTGTTTTTTAATTTGGTCATATTTCCATGTCAGTACAGGTACCAAATATTTAATCAACAAATATTTGTTAAACACTTTGTGACAAGCTCTGTGCCTGGTGTTGTTAGTACACTGATAGGCAAACAGACAAAGGCCCAGCCTTTGTGGAGCTTATAGTCCAAATATGTAGGTCTACCTAAATTCTTTTGAATGGTTTATAGTACAGTATTTCCTGATATATTAATTTTCTATTGCTATGTAACGAATTACTCCCAAAATTTAGCAATTTAAAACAAACATATTACACAGTTTCTGAGGGTCAAGAATCTGGAAATGGTTAGCTGGGTCTTTCTACTCAGGGTCTTTCATGAGGTTGCAGTCAAGATGTAGGCGGGGGCTGATAGAAGTTCCAGAAAGAGAGAAGATGGGAGGAAATCCTTAACAAAATAACAACAAAAAAAACGTTCACAAATATGAAGGACATGAATTTCCTTACTGAAAGGGCTCACCAAAGACAATTTATTGTAAAAAATTTTAGTATGTTGGAGTCAGAGAAAAAAAATCCTAAAGATTTCCAGGGACGAAAAAAAGAAAAAAGAAAGCAGGTTTCATACTAATCAGAATGGTATCAGACTTCTCAGAATCAACACTAGAAGCAAAATGGATATATTTTATTGACATTTTGTGCCTTTGGCTTGATATTAGGCTGAAAGTTCATCTACTTGTGATTAAATTTCTGTTTTCTGATAATTTATGATTCTGTAAATTAGTAACTTTTAAAAATTTCAGGTTTTTATGTCTTCTCCGTTAACTACACTAATTATTTGAGTTTTCAATACTGTAATGAAAAAGGAATAATTAAGATGTTAAAACAGCACTAAAAATTGAGAAAACAAACATCTTTAGTAAACACCTTTATATCTATATCTATATTTATCTATGTATAGATTCTTTTAAAGTAAAGCTCATCTATAATTTTCCTGATTATAAGAAGGAATCATTTTTTAGATTATCTTAGGTTATTGACTTTTATTTTTGTATTTTTATTGAAGGTGGGAACAAAGAAAAGATCCTCATGGTAGAACCTATTATGTAGATCATAACACTCGAACTACCACATGGGAGAGACCACAGCCTTTACCTCCAGGGTAATGTAACATCTTTATGTATGTTCAGTTGTATTTTATCAGACATGTGATTTTTAAGTTTATTTAGTACAGCATAAATAGATTCTTTCATTTTGCATCTAGTATTAAGTTTTCTTACATTTTCTTGATTTGCTTGTGTGAATAATGAATGTTCAATAAATGAGATTTGTTATATTGTATCTCTTTTACAGCTGGATAGTCTTAAGGGTTTCCTCAAGAGATTGTCAAATATTGGCATGAGTTACTGAGAGAAATTTCAGAATTTTGGTTCAATTTCAGTCCTTGTTATTTTTTAAGGAAGGAAAGTCATACGTAGGACAGATTATATGTATGGTTCTTCATAGATCTAAACTATGTTATTTCATGACATCTAATGACAAGAGATTAATTAGAGTGGTTTAAAATTATGATCTACAAAGATGGGTATAAACTATAAATAAACTTGTATTACATTATGCCCAAAATTATAGAAGGTTTTAAACTAATAAAACATTCTTGTTACACACGGAATAAACTTCATGCTATTAGGCTGTCAATCAAGGCCATTTACAAACTCATCTTCCTTTACCTTTATATCCTTTCATATCTCTTTATATGTACTGCACTGATAGCTAGTTCAATTACACTTTGCATTTTCCCCAAACATTCTGTGTATACCTGGAATTATTCCTTATTGTCTTTAACACTCAGAATATCTGTCCTTCCAGATTCAACTTAAAGTTCATCAATATAAAAGACATTTAAAGTCTAGAAAATCCAAGGCAAGCAATATGTTGTTTTTGTGAGATATGTCCCTTTTATGGGATAAAGTACTCAGGCATTAGCCCTACAGTATTAAATGAGAACTTACTATAGGAAAATGGACTTGATATTTCAATATAGCAAATCATAAAGTTCATTTTAACTATGACAGGATCACCAAGTTATAGTTGCTAATTTAACCCATTCATTGAGTGCTATAACATGAGTTTTATTTTACTAAAACTTGTCCAAAGGTTAAGCGGGGACTATCTTTACTTTTATCTTTAGAACCTATTGTGTTCTTTGTGACTCCCTGGTTTATAAGTTTGTAATAAATTTATAGAAAGAACTTAGAATTGGTTGGTGAAAGGATTCTGAAGTTATTGTATAAATTAATGACAAAAATTGGTTTATTAGATTCTGAAACTGTTTAATCGTTGGCCTCTTTTTTTATAGACAGTCTTGTGAAATCATGTTAGTGGTAGAATGGGAAGGCCATTTAGCTAAAGTAAATAGTTGATAGTATTATAGATTTTCTGAATAGTATCAATATTTACATTCTCTTAAAATCATTTTATTACATTCTAGACTTAATTTTTAAATTATTTGCATGAAGTATTATTCCATTTTTTATACTGAAAGATTGTTGTTTATTTTATTTTTATTATTGTTTATTTTATTTGTGGTAGTTGGGAAAGAAGAGTTGATGACCGTGGAAGAGTTTATTATGTGGATCATAACACCAGAACAACCACATGGCAACGGCCTACCGTGGAATCTGTCCGAAATTTTGAACAGTGGCAATCTCAGCGAAACCAATTACAGGGAGCTATGCAACAGTTCAACCAACGATACCTCTATTCGGTAATTAGCAAATTACAAGATTTTACTACATCTTCCCTCAGCCATTTGCCCTTTTCTACTTCGGTAATTTTTTAAAATGTTATAGACTGCATTACAACGTATTCTTTTAGTTAATTTCTAATAAATAATTAGTGTTTCTGAGATAGATATATATATATATATATATAAAAGCAGTTTAAGTTTTTAAAAGATGATCCAGTGTACTAACATAATTATACACTCAGTTTTATATCCTTATTAAGAGGTAGTTTCATAAATGCAGTTTCTTAATAAAATAATATCTGTTCCAATTCCCGTTCTTCTACCTTTAGTTATAATAATTTTGTTTGCTTTAAACAAAACCAGTTATTTCATGATTTTACTTAAGGCCAGTCTTGCAGTATTCTAGCTGTTCTGATTCTCATCCAGATTTGAAGAAACAACACTCATCTGTTTTGACTCACCAGAGATATTCCTGGGATTTGGAGATATTTTTGTCCCCAAAATCTAATGCCCTCTGGATATTTGACTAGTTAGTGATTTATTTATCACCATAGACATCCACATTAGGATTTTAAAAAACCCCAAAAACCCCAAAACCAAAAAGAACACCTCTGATGAATAGTTTGATTGCAGGAGGTAGAAAAGATAAATTTTAAGTATGTACTGGGCAAATGGGCAACTCTAGATAGTGTTTTGAGGCAACCTGAAGAAACCCAAAATGTAAAGGCTAGTAGAAAGGAAGTAGGAAAGAGACATGGAAAGAAAACTTAAATAAGTTTCTTTGGATTCTTGCCTCAGGCTGGCTCTTTCAACTCCAGTTTTTCAGAGATTAAATAAGTTCTCATTTGCAGGTTGACCCACCCTCCTGGTTATCTATAACCAGCAGAGAGGGAGTGGGGCAACCCAGTTTTCATAACATCTCCTGCTGTCACCAGTTGCTGGTTCTTTGGTGACCTGTACAGAAATCTGAGAGGTTTCATAGTTTAGCTCCATATAGTAAACAAGAAATTATGTACTATGTGTGTTTGTTTTTGGTTGGACTTACCTGTACACATGAAAACCTTGGGGAAACAGAGCAGAATTAAAAAATAGGTGTGTGAGATGTTCAACTGCAAATAACAAAATCTCCTTAAATGGATTTAGGTTTGGTGGTCTCAGTACAACACCAAGTCTGCAATAAGCATCTAAGACAAATACTACATTGGCTCAGTAGTGCCATCAAGTATCTACATTCTTTCTGCCATTTTGCTCCCCCATGTTTATCATGCTTCATGCCTGTCACTTTGATCATAGGGAGCTGCTGCCCTCTGTGTCCCATTTCCACAGTACAGGCAAGAAGAAAGGAAAAGGGGAATTGAAAGGGGAGGTGGCTGTGTTCTAGCAAGCCCTTGCCTTTTTACTTAGAAAGGGATGCTCTTACCATGACCTTCTGCCTATACCTTGTTGGCCAGAATTGCTCACTCCACCAGCCCAGCTGCAGGGGAGCCAGGGAGTGGAATATTCTTTATGGACACATTACTACCTCAAATAGTGGTTTGGTTATCAAGAAAGAAGAGGTGGGGAATGGATATTGAGTACAATTAGCTGTATCTATTACAAGATTATAAAGTATTCATCAAGATGCATATACTTTATCATTAAATTATTTTTCAGAAAAAAAATTATTTTTCAGGTAATTATTTTTATATTTTTTTCTTTTAGAATTTATGGTACAGTGTTTATATTTTCTTCAGAATATATTTCTAGGTTGTAATAATAAGTAAACATACATACAAATGTATTTTTATGTATGTATGAATACATAAAATATACTAATTAAGGTAATGGTTTATTTCTACAAAGACAACTAGAGTTTATATTGGTTTTATTAATAGGCATTTGTTTTAAAGGACACCTTGATAATTATTCTATTTTTAAACAAATAATTTAAACACCTCATTTAAACACCATAATTTTCTATATGCTCTGCCCCATCTCGTTTCATTCCTGTAGATTACTATGCAAAGACTGGGAGATTAAAATACTGATGTCAGTATCGTATTTTTAAATCATTTTAGAAAAACTGATAATTTTATTTGTTGATTGGCTTCTCTTACCTCATGATATTTTAAGAACTTTGTGTCTTGAAATTACTATTGGCACATTTCTTTATCATCTTTTAAAAAATTATTATATATATATATATAT